GGAGCATTTGAAAATGGCAAAACAAGTTTTGGAGCATAAAGAAGTGAGATGGGGGATCTCAGAAACATTTGATGTGAGAGAAACCAGACTGCAAGTGGCTGGCCATGTAAAGCCTGTGAGGCATTGAGGGATGTGTCCCTACTGTTTTCCTTATGTCTACCTTTCACCTTCTTCAGACACTCCCTCTGGAGGCCAGCATCTACTTGTGTTTGGAGTTTGGTTTTTATTTTGTTTTTTATGACTCAACATTAAACTTCTAAGGAGTTGTTTATACTGTTCAGGTGTGTATAATGCTTTTTCCTGATCTGTAGGAATTATCTAACCCTGGAAAATACTTTCCATGAATCATCTTCTGCAGGTGAATACTTAACAAGTATATAAGTGCAGGTACTGCCATCCACCTCAGGGATTATGATGGTTAATCTTGGTGGTCAACTTGAATGGATCCATAGTCACCTAGGAGACAGTTCTTTGTGCACACCTGTGAGAGATTATCTAGATGAAAGTTAGCCTCTGTATATGTCTATGAAGATTCAACTTAATTGTGAATTAGACCAATCCCTGGGCAGGACCAATCTCCAGACAGGGACCCTGGACTGGTTAAATGGAGTGAGTGAGCTGAGAGCCAGCATTCATCACTCTGCTTCCTGAATGTGAATGGGATATGACCTGCTGCTTCAAGCTCTTGCTGCCATGATAGACTGTACCCTTGACCTGTGAGCCAGAATAAATCCTTTCTCCCTTACATTGCTATTTTCAGCAACAGAAAAAGAAACTAACCAGATGTAGTGTGCATTACTAATAGAGGTCGTGAGAGCTCATTCTTTACAGTCAAAGGCCTGTGCCTTACAGTATATATGATCAAGAATATTTTTGTATTTTTTATTATATTTGCAGTGTTGTAAAGCTTATCTTTCCTCCTGAATGCAGTTAAGAATTGCAGAGAATTTGTAGGGGTTGTTGAGTATGGTAGAGTGTGTGCTTAGCATATCTGATGCCCTGGATTCAGCCCCAGTGCCCTGTCAAAAAAATGGAGGGAGGGATAAATAGAACCATAGAGCACTTATAAATTACACATAATTCAATCAGCTTGGTAGAGCTTTAACTTACTTAAAAAGTGTTCTTTAGACACTGGAGAGATGGCTCAGCTGTTAAGAGCACTGGCTGCTCTTGCAGAGGACCTGGGTTCAGTTCCCAGCACCCACGTGGCTACTAACAACTGTAACTCCAGTTCCAGGGGATCCGATACCCTCTTCTGACCTCTGTAGTCATTGCACAGCATGGGTGCCCTTACATACATGCAGGCAGTACACTCATACATATGAAATAAAAATAATATTTTTAAGTCTTATTTAGCTGGGCATGGTGGTGCATGCCTTTAATTCCAGTACTAAGGAGGCAGAGGCAGGTGGATCTCTTGAGTTTCAGGCCAGCCTGATCTACATAGCAAGGTACAGGCCAGCCAGGGATGCATAGTGAGACCCTGTCTCAAAAAAAATACCAAAATATAGGTGTGCTTTGGCTCTGACCCATCACTGGCTGTATTTATTTTCTCAGTACTGAGAAAAAATGGCATTGCATTATGTAAAATCTCTGCAACTGTTTAGCAGTTTGTATTAAAAAAATCAAAAGATTAAAATTTTTCTTTTGAATGCTTATGTCATTAAACTTTGATCTGCTTTATAGAGCAAAAGACCAAACTCCAAAAGCAAAGGGCTAGAATCGATGATTATGAAAATTCAGACTAAGACTTTATCCAGGAAACTATCAAAATTGGAATTTTATAAGGATTTTTTTAAAGAAATATTTTCCTTTTTAAAATTTCATTATTTTTATTTTATGTATATGAGTATATTACCTGCATGTATGTAAGTGCACCCATGTCATACAATGCCTGCAGAGATCAGAAGAGGGCATTGGATCCCCTGGAACTGGAGTTATAGATGGTTGTTAGCCACCATGTGGGTCCTAGGAATCAGACCCAGGTCCTCTGCAAGAATAGCCAGTGCTCTTAACTGCTGAACCATCTCTCCAGCCCTGGAGTTTTTAAAGAAATATTTTCTGTGTTTGAAATCAAAATGTGTTTGTGCCAGACATGGTGGCTCACACTTACAGTCCCAGGACTTGGGAGGCTGAAGCAGGAAAGTGATGTCAGTCCAGGCCAGCATGGGCTGCAAAGTGAGCTTGAGGCTAGCCTAGAATAAACAGAAAGAAAAAAAAAAAAAAAAAAAAAAAAAAAAAAAAGAAATATTTTCAAAGAATGTATAAGATTAGGTTATGAAATAGCTATTTTGAATTACTTTTCTGAACATTGTATATTTTGTCATTGAAAATGAAGTATTTGTAAAGAAACAATGGAGACGACCTATATAGCCCAGGCTGGCCTGGAACTTGCCCAGGCTAATCCCCACTTTGTTATGTAGCCAAAGATGGCCTTGTACTTCTTTTTATCCTTCTGCCTCTGCTCCCCCAGTGCTGGGGTTTCCAGGTATGTGCCACAATATCGGTTTATGCAGTGCTGGGGATCAAACGTAGGGCTTCATGCATGCTAGGCAAGCATTCTGTCAACTGACCTACAATACACAGCCCAGAAACAGTATTTTTAAAATGGACCTCCATCATGGAGTTGCGGTGTAGGCCTTTATTAAAGAATGTTACGTTACCTCCGTTTGCCATTTATGTTTTTCCCTTTCTTTGATGAAAAATAAATTTGGTTCCTTATATGCCCAGAAGGTACTTTTGGCCTGAGTCTGGTTTGCAGTTGTACATTCTATAAGAAACTGTTTGAAATAAAGGTTCCTATGCTGGGAGGGGTGGTGCATGCCTAGAATCCTAGCACCCTGAAGGCAGAGGCAGGGGGAACCCTGCAAGTTTGAGGACAGCTTGCTCTACATAGTGTGTTCTAGGCCAGCCAGGGCTACATAAGACTCTGCTTCCAAAATAAAAGGGTTCTTCTTACTTACCTTTCTCACATGGAATGCCAGTTATCTGACTGCTCTTTACTGACAAATGAGCATTCATCACACCCTACAGTCTAGCCTGTTGTCTGCCATTGAAGGATTAGAGCATTATGCAGTACTTGACAGACTGAAGGTGCCTAATTGGAGAGAGAACAGCACCCACTTACACCTAAATGGAAAGAATGATCAGACCTTTGGCTGTGTTATGACTGCTGAAAGAACATAATGACCAGCTCAGCTCACATTCATATGTTCTCAACAGTGAAAAAGACATGCTTGATAGAAACAAAACTATATTAAGAATAGAGTTCCGCTGGCACATTGTACATATTTATGCATTCTTCTGTGTCTAGCTTGGTGGTTAGAGAGCACTTCCTGGAAAGGCTGCTACACAAATGTTTTCAATTTGAGTGTGTACGCTTCAGCCAACTAGTCCTCAAGACAAAGTTCACTTACTGCCCTGGAGATAACTCAGCTCTTTAAAATATATACTAATGCATTTCAGGCTTGGGACAGAGAAGAGGACTGCTCCATATTGGACAGTCATATAAACTTGGAGCTGTTTCCTGTGAATATCCTCAATAGCAGTGTATTATTCTGGAGAGTGGTTCTATCTCTAAACAACTGCTGCCCTGGCCCAGGCTGCTCGGTACTTGCTAATGTTTACATCTCAGGTTTGACAGATTCCTTTATTTTGACAAAGAGAACTTTGTGAGAGCAGGAATAAAATAGAACAATGATTTTATATAATTAAGTGTAGTGAGGACATTTAAAAATAACCCTTAGCTAGGGGTGGAGTTTTGTGATGGAGCACATGCTTAGCTAGAGGGAAGGAAGCTGTAGATTCAGTACATTGCACCAAAAAGCCTTAAGTAATCTATAAAGATTAGTTTGGGTTAGCTATGTTTTGTTTCTTTCAGTTATTTGAATAGAAATTTCAAAAGAAGTCATTTGTATCTTTGTATTCTGACATGTCTAGCAATAGTTTGGGGATTTTTTCCCCCTATGTTCCTTCTAGCACCACCTCTCATAAAGCCATGAAAGTTGAGTGCCTAAATAAGGAACTTGTTGTATGTTGATGGTAAGGAAGGAAGCCAATGCAGTCACAGACAACCCTTATTCAGGTCTACAAAGCGTGAACCATGTACTACCCCCCTTTGGGAGTGCTTATTATGAGCTTGATTCTGACTAGAAGACACTGATACAGTTGCTCAGATTTTCAGATGGCTTGCTTAGATGCTCAGAGTGAGTCACAATTTGTGTTGGACCAGTAGGAAGTGTAAGTATCACAATAAGTTCATCTGTGGAAGTTCAGTCATTGACTGTAATTCCTTTGTGAAGTGGGAAAATCTGCATTTCTGCATTTGTCTCAGTTACACCATTCATCGCCTTTGAGTCTGTGTAGCCTGTACTAGCCTCTTGCTGGGGCCTCCTTTTCCACCTTGAGTTAAGCAGTGGACCAGAGTCTAAGATTCTGAATTTCTCATTGTGAAGTTCCATTTCTAGTTCACACAGACAGCTGGAGTATCAACTATACAGCAGTTAGTGACTGTTTGGATTGTCAGTTGACAAACTCCCAGCAGACCAAAGTGAACAAAGAGTAATGCTGAAGCCCTTCAGGAAGTTTGTGCTGGGTTTGCTGAAACTATCAGTGTAAGTCTCAAATGATGAGGCACTCCTGAGTGCCAGTGTGGTCAGATGGCAGTGACATTTTGCTGGATGCTTATTGAAATGGTTTCCTGTTTGAGGTCCTGAGTGACAGTGTAGGTGACTGTGCATAGTCCAACTTATATAGTCGCTGGTTCCTCCACACTCCTGACCAATCCAATGCCCCCTGATATGAGGGCTAATGAGTTACCCACGGTTCAAAATTTCTGTCTCCCTGTAGCCCCAGCTGGCCTGGAACTCACTATGTAGACCAGGCTGGCCTTGAACTCACAGAGATCCGCCTGCCTCTCTGCCTCCCAAGTGCTGGCACTAAAGGCACGCACCACCACATCTGGCTCTGGTTTTGTTTTGTTTTTTTTTTTTTCCTTGACTGGTTATTTTTAAGTGAGGATAACAGTTGACTACCAGGGTGAAAGCTTAAAGGTAATGTATGTGAAATTTTTTAGCAAATAGATGGAACTTGATAAATAAGTCAAAACAGCTTATTGTGAAAACTCCAGGTAAGATAACCCTATCTGATAGCTAGGGGAATTGGGAGCCTAACATTTGTGTCACATGTTACAGAGTACTTTATGAAATATTATCTTTTAATTCTTAGAACCTCATTTTAAAGATGCAGAGATATCAGGAAGTCTCCACAGTCACAGCACCTAGTACTGGTGGAGTTAATTTTCAAGTCCTCTAATTCCAGATGTGTTTTTCTTTCCCAATATACTGCCAACACACTGATGCATGTAGTTGTTATGCTATGGTTAATGTTAGTCTCTGATGATCTGGACAAGGAAACAAGTATTCAGAATGGCATTAGTACCTATGGGAGCAGGTCCTTGTGCCCTTTGATGTGACTACAGCTAAACTGCTATTTAAGACACACTTTGGGCCATCCTGGAGCAGTCACTCATTTTGTTTGATCTTTTGTTTTTTGTAGCCAAGGTTGGCCTTGCACTCTTGATCTTCCTGCCTCCACCTCCCAAGTTTTGGGATTACAGGCCTGTGCCATCACACTTGGCTTCATTTTGCTTGATCTTAACTCCGAAACAGCTCCAGGGAATAGTTGGAAGATTTGAATATCTCTGGGATGTCATTGTCCAGTTTTGAAATAATTTTGTAAATGGGTTTCTTCCAGGAAGGATCTGAGTCTTTCCCTACGGACATAGCCCTGAAGAACTCCTGTAATGTCAAGCTGGCAATTTCCAAGAAGCAGTCTGGGACCTGCATCCCCAAAGAGACCCCCAAGAAAAGGAAGACATGAGGCTGGAAGTTCTGAGATCATGGAAAGCCCACTGGCTGATGCTGCCTGTTGTGGGCTCAGAGCATCCTTGATTCTCCAGTCTAGCACTGCTCTGCTCCCTTGTGAAACACAGACCTTAAAAATGACCATTCTAGGGGTACAGTCTTGGGAGAAAGTATATTAAAGACACTCTTGTAGGAGTTGCTGGTTCCATCAATGGGTACATTTTAGTAACTAAGTAGGAAATGAATGAAAATGAGTTATAGCATTCTTAATTCCTTAGACCTGCTATAAGAAACAGGGCCCTCAAGCTTATGACCACCATACTTTATCCGCCACCCTGTAGAGCTGGATCTCAAGGACTTAAATTCCTGTTTCCAGAGCCATTTGAGGTGGCTGTTCCAGAACCCTCACCCAGACTGGCACTATAGGTGATGGGATGTTCAACAGGCCCTCCAGATGCAACTTGGTTCGGGGGCTTGGTGCCATTGCCTGCCAAATGACCGTCCCTGTGGAAGGACAGGATAGTGCTGCCATCCCACCCTGGCTCTTGCCCTCCCTTCCCATGGTGGGCTCAGGTTTCCAAACATGTTCTGGCTATGGAAGCCAGCAGTCCTTATACTCTTGGAGGTATTAGTAAACTCCTGTGATCACAGTCCAGTGAGAAAGGCAAGAAGAAGGCAATGCACTTAGGACCAGGCACACTTGGCACCTCCAAAGGAAGATGGCAGCCTAACGGCTACTAGTCTCCTTAGGCTGTACATGTCTGCTGGTGAGACCTAAGCTCACCCTTCCCTGACACTTTACCACTTAGGCATCAGTATGAACATGCACATCCCAAGGGTTGGGATTCTTCAGCTTTGTTATTTCCAGAAAGAATTTCAGATTGGCTCACAACTAGAACTCGTCAGGTGAGAATAGAAAAGCCAAGTGTTGATAAAAGCCGAAATTGTTTAGAAAACCTAGGCAAAGATTAGGTGTTACAGTTGAACCCAGGATTTGGTGGTGAGCCACTTGGCTCTGAGGCAAAAAAAAAAAGTCAAGATTTTTACTTCATAATTACAGAGTAATAAGTCTAGAATAGCAAAACCTCTGGCAGGCCTCCTTCAAGTTTCAACGGGACTGTATTTGCTTTATCTACCTGTTATCTGAAGATTTAGAGGCTATAATCCTTGCTGGTGATACAGAAATTGGCCTCAAGCCACTGTGATTCTCAATGATTAAGGACAGACATAGAAGGGTTTTTAAAGAACTAATCATACAGAGAGAAAACACATCTCAGACCTTATGGAACCTAATACACTGTCTTACCTTGAATTCATTTCCCTTGTTATAGTGCATATTGAGAACTCGAAAAAGTTCTGAATCACGGAGAACCACCAGCATTTTGGGATTTGTGACACCTTCTGAAATTGCTTGCCGGGCATATTTCTCCATTTGGATGTAATAAAATTCACGAAAGTTGCTGAACCACTTGATCATCTGGGAGGTGATGCAGCGATTAAACTGTGCAAAGAAGGGGTCCATCAAGTCAGACATTTGCCATGAGGTGTTCAGAATCAGGACTGTTAGCATCTAGTTCAGCATGGGATTGATGTGAGTGGCTTCACAAAAAGAAGTGTTGGCCACAGGTATTGGCCAAGCCTGTGCAGTTAGACTCGAAACTCTAAGGTCCACTAGAAAATCATTTTTACATACTAGATTCTTAAAGGGTTTTGATCATGAGAATCTTTTCATGGTGACTAAACATAACTTTGGGTCAAGGCCACTTTGGCACCAGCATGGCAGCCATAGAACCAGAAGGGATAAAGGGTTAGGGAGCAGTTTCCTGGCAACTTAGAATTGCAAAATGAATAGATATCTAAATTAGAATTTACTTCAGGGATCATACTTCCATATGACAGGAAGGCTTAAAACTCTTGACTGAGATATGTCCAAAATATTAAGAGCCATCAACCTGCAACTTAGGGTAGTGGCCCTCAGAAGGTTTGATGGTGTCCTATTTATTTTTTGGTGGGGATAAAATCCAGGGCTTCATGCATGCTAAGTAAGTGCTGTACTATGGCACTACATCCCTAGCTCCTTATGTTTTCTGTATTTTCGTAATGTTTATACATTCTTTTTTCATAAGGTCCCTACCATAGAGTTAAAGATCCACTTGTTCTTCCCCTGCCTAACCTTCCCATTTTTTTTCTGGGATTATCTATTGCTCAAAACCCTAAGCATTCTGATACCCTCCTCTCCTGGTGAAACGTTGCCCATGACTACTCGGGCAGTCTCCGAACTGCAAATTGCACTGATTCCATCAACAACATGAGGGGAGCTTGAGGTGCACACTTGCCTCACACTGAGCCAAACACTGCAACTGGGGAGTTTTGCAGAGGCTAGTACCCAATGTGTGACTTTACCTGAACATCTGGGAAATAAGCTTTCAGGAGGTTGGAGCTAGGATACCGTGTGAAGAAAAACATTAATTTGGCTTTCTTCAAGTGACCAGGGTTTAGGCCTTCCTGGATTTGTTTTGGTGTCAAGGAAAAGTACCACTTTTAAAGCATCAGTTTACTTCCTGTGCTGATGACCCCTGCAAACATACTGAACATTCCTAAAACTCGCCCAACTCTGCAAGAAACACTGCAAGCACCAACCCCACAAAACTGACACAGGACAAGTAAAGGCAAGAATTCTCTGGAAGCAGAGTAGCTACAGTTGGCAGTTGAAGCCCATTTTCCTAAACAGTGATAAAACTACAAAGATTGTGATAAGGGTTGAGTATGTTAAGTCTACCTAGGAAATTCAGGAGAATGCTATGAAGAGGTGCAAACACTTTGAAATGGGAGGGAACAAAGAGAAAGAACCAAGTGAGCCAGTCTATGCTGATTTTGTTATGAAGACAAAATCAGGAGGTTATTTTTTTTAAGAACAGTTTAAGACCAGGCGTGGTGGTCAACACACCTACAATACAGGTACTTGGGAAGTCGAAGTAGGAAGATCAGAAATTCAAAGTCGTTCTCAGCTATGTAATGAGTGCCAAGCCAGCCTTAGGATATATAAGACTGTGCCTCAAAAAAACAAAAGACAAAGCAAAAATCTGATAATAAAGAACCAGTTTATCACATAATTTCCCCAGACTCTCCAAATGGTGATTGTTCTGTTCTTGTGGTTGTCTCCTACCCCCTACTCTCCCCTGCCCCAGATTGGAGAATTTGCTGTCTCTGGAAACTGATCATACAAGCTGGAAGCTGTCCACATAATAAAGTTGCTCAATTTTAAAACATCTTAGTGTGTAAAAGTCAGGTATCAAATGGCTTCTGTAATAACAAATACAGTTTTCTGTACTTGGTGCACTGTTTCAGAGTGAGGCAGGCGAAGATTGCAGCTCTATCTCAAGCAACACTTGGGAACGTCCGGTAGAGCTTTCCTTCCATTCTACCTCAATTTCCTATAAAATAAGAGGAGTCATCTTGGTGATCTCCATTCTGACCTTGGCAGGTGTGAAACAGCAGACTTCTAGCCAGACAGAATACCAGGTCCCATTATGCTCTCGCTCAACTGAGACATAAATCGTGGCCTGCGTCTGTGCCCCACCTGGCACCTGGCAACTTTCCCTTATCTGCTAAGCCCCAGCTCAAGCTCGTCTCCACTGAACCTTCCCTTGCTGAATTAGGCCTTCCTTAACCACGGCTCACAAGGTTCCTTGCACAAACCTCTGTTATGACCTTCCTGGAATTTTTATTGCATGTGTTGTCGCCGCATTTAGACTGTGAGTTCCTTGAGGGTAATACCGGACTGTATCTTTATGTTCCACATGCCTATCCCACTGTCAAGCAAGTAATAGATGTTCAATAAATGTGCGTTAAAAAGTGAGTGGGTGGTCAACCTTATGTCAGATATATAGAGAGAAGTTATACTTCAAGCTATACCTCTTCCTATGACAGATTCCTTCCCTTTAACAATGGCAGGTGTACAGGCATGGTGAAGCCATGCCTGGATTTTTACAAGGGTTCTGGAGATTCGAACTCATTTTTTGTTTGCAAGCAAACAAAGGAGCAAAGTAAGTACTTCTTCCCACTGAGCCATCTACCGAGCGCAGAGGGTTTCACTAAAGCCTTCCAGGGAAACCTGAGCTTTGGGATGTTTTACCACTATAGACCAGCAGGGGGCACTCACAGCACTTAGGACACAAAAGCAGGCTCTGGTTCCATGACTTACTGTCCTGCAACTGCCAGGCAATGGACAAGATTGTTCACACCTGGACATGGAAATCACACATTAACCTGTGGAGGCTGGGCTCCACGCTACTCATGCGAAGCTGCCCACCTACAGCTCACTGAAAAAGCAACATTCAAAATATTGAGAGGACTTTGGCCCTAAGAGTTTGGGGCTGCCTATAGTCTCTTAAAGCTTCACATCAGATTTCAATAAAGCTCTGAAAAATCCCACAGTAATGAAACTAACCCAGTACTTACCCAAGCTGCATTTTCTTCTAATTTAATAATTATTAATATATTGTTGGATATTCTCAGAAACACTTTAAAGAGAGTGGGCTCTGCTTAAGGGTTATAAAGATGATAACGATCCAAGCAGGCCAGCTTGGACCTTTCTGGCCTCCCCATGGGGTGGAGGGTATCTCATCTCTCTCAATGGCCCACCCCCTCAGGCTCTAGCCCACCCTGTTGCACTTGAAAGCTATCTCACCCTGAAGGCTTCTGGCTCCTTCCAGCTGCTTTTTTAGTTCTATTCTCTGAGGAAAACTATTCTTTTTGCCTCCTAATTCTTGGTTCCTTATGTATTCGCCATGATATCTAGATCATGGAGACATTTTGAGTGTAGTCTCATGAGGTTGGGGAAGCCATACCTTTGACCCTTTCTGCCTAAGAAGATGGGCAGTTGGCAGCCAAATCATACATAGAATTCTTTCTTCCATAGAGCATTCCTCTTTTTGTGGAAGCCCATTTGAATTTAAAAGCAAGCAAACAAAACTCTTTCAGACCCAAAGTAACAAGTCAGTTGTGGCAAAATCTGATAGGTCATAGAAGTCAATAAACCTATGATACCAAATCCTAGAATATGGTTTCTACTTCACAGTCTATGAAAGTAATAGGCTGTGAGCCACAAGAAAGATTCAGGAATGACGTTAAATAACTCTGGGAAATCAGGCATGTAAGCGCATGCCTATAATCCCAGCACTTGGAGACTATAGCAGAATTGCTAAGAATCAAGGCCAACTTGACTACATAGTGAGTTCCAGGCAAGCCTGGGCTACAGAATGAGATCCTGTCTTTTAAAGCAGCAAACAAAAATAAAAACGGACTGGGAAAGAAAAGGACAAAACATGGGCTCTCATGTACAGTATAGATACTTGTTCCCACTTCCTCCTCAACTTTTGGTTTTCCTGTTTGTCTGGGCAGTCTATGTTCATCAAAGACCAGTAAAGGATATGTGGATGGAAGAGAAAGGAAGTGAGTCAGCCACAGCCTGCAGTGAGTCCTGCTCCATCTTCACAGAGGGTAGGAGAGGCCTGTTCTCCTCATGGGCAGGGGTGAAAGGCAGGGGGAGCTGTTGCTGGCTCAAAACCCAATGTTGCTGGGTAGATTTTGGGGAGCTGTGACTCTGGGAAGATGAGTCCTGGGGAGGACTGACACTCCAATGGCCTTTAGGCCCATGACCCAGGAGCTGCCTAAGAATTTTATTTTCCTGGATGTGAGAAGGCACAGTTGTCAAGGGGTAGTTTGATAGGGGACTCTGATACAGTTTGGAGACCTCTCTTGGAGAGATAGGACACATAGGAGAATCTAGAGGCCTAGTCAGTGATAAATTTCCCAAAGGAAACCCAGCTTGTGGCTGGACCGTCCTGGGCAGGGTGGCAAGATCAAGTGTGTCCTTATAGGCACCTCTACCTGAAGGCGAAGGCTGGCTTCTGCCCCCTGGAGCTAGTCCCTGGAAGCTTCTGTCCTGCTGGGTCAGGTGGCCTAGGGGGTCCAATAGCACCTGTTGTAATACCGAGTCCACAGCCTGGGACACAGCCCGGCTCAGTTCTTTCCTCAGAATCTCCAACAAAACCTGTGCTCCTGAAGGACAAAACATGGGCTCCTCAGATTGGTGTTTAACCTCAGCCATTCTGGTCTTCATGGCCTCACAGAGGTCCTTGTTGGGACCCTGCTGGGGGTCATTGTCCATAGTACAGAGGCTAGATCGCAAGCTGTTCCTCTGCTTTGCCCTCAGAGGACCTTTCCTTTGCTCAGACCCTCCTGGGCCCTGAATTGGGGTGCTGGGCTCAGGGGCTTGTAGGATATGTGCTTGCAGGTGTCTTAACTGTTGCTTCAGCAAATGAAGCTGTTCTTTCACCGGGGGCCCCCCCTTCCTGGGCCCTTGATCCCAGGCCGGGTCTGCTTTTAGGGAACCTTGCTGCACGGGAAGGCTCTGCTTCCTTTTACGTTCCCGGGCCTTTTCTGGGCAGCATGAGCTATCCCTGGCTCGTGTACTGCCTGGTGCCAGAGGACTAGGAGAGAGACACATGCCTCGGACAATGGTCTCCACTCTGGCTCTCTTGGCCTGGATGTGCTCATCCCAAAACCAGTCGGCATCTGTGAGACTGGAACTGGGGAGTTGGCCCCTGGGGAAGGTGGAGTCCCTGCCCAGCTCTTGCGTGAATGAGCTTCTCTCCCTTTCCATGCAGGGTTCTGCCAGATGGGAGCAGGCCTGGGGCTGAGGAGAAAGCAAGACAGAGGCAGTGGGTAGATCCATCACCTGCCTCCCAAGGTGCTTGGGCAGAGCTCCCTGAAGAAGCCCAGGGCCTTTGGAACTTGAAGTTCCTGAAGATCAGCAGGAGGCACACCAGTGGTAAAGGGCCTGCCTCGCACCCAGAATGATGAGAGACAGCTGCCACCAAGGACTCAGATGTGAAATGCCAGGACTCTCGAACTTTCTGGACAGACTCCTAAAATGATAGGATGAAAACAATACATGTAACTTAGAGTTATGCTTTTCAAACTTGAATGTACAAAGAAATCACCTGGGGAACTTGGTAGGTACAAATTTCAATTCAGCCAATCTGGACTGGGGCAGAGATTCTGCATTTCCAGCTAGATCTCAGGCCACGCTCCTCGAGACTCCACTTTTGAGGAGCTTCCAGGAGAGAGCATGTAGGGAAAATATTTATTGCACAGCAATAAGTAATGATGATGGCAGCCAATTGAAGAGCTGGTGTTAGGCCAAGAACTTTACACTCATTACCCAACATTCCCAGGCTCTGAGGACTGAAGGGGTTACTTTGCTAAGGTCACACACAACTAGTAAGTGGCAGGCTGGAGTCAAACCAAGATTGATCATATCAAGAGTGCATAAGGGCAATAGAATCACCTGAATACTTGTTTAAAGTAGCAAATTCATTGGCCCATCTAGATCTGTTAAATAAGACCCTGGCAGTGGACCAGGAACTTCATTTGTTTTTCAGACAAAGTCTCATGTAGCGCAAGCTGGCCTTGAACCCACAACGTAGCTGAGGATGACCTTGCACTTCTGATCCTCCTGCTTCTACCTCCTGAGTGCTGGAATTATAGATGTGCAGGACCATGCCTGGTTTAGATGGTGGTGGGGGTTAAACCCCAGACTTCATGTATGCTAGGCAAGCACTCTACCAACTGAGCTATATCCCCAGATTTGTTTGGTTTTTAAAAGAGTGTCTCACTATGTAGCCCAGGCTGGCTTTCACTTCACAGTTCTCCTGTCTTAGGCTCCTGAATCCTGGGAGTCATCACATCTGGCCCCAAGAACCTTATTTGAAACAAATTTGAGAATGATTGTTGTTTGACCACTATACTGCCTTGCCTCCTTGAAAACCAGACAATGCATTTATAGTTCAACTAACTATTCAACAACTACTTACTAAGCACCTGCTGAGTCAGGCCTTCTGTGCAATGGGAGGGCAGCAGTGATAAAGACTGGCAATCTGGGTCAGGAAACACCGCTCAGCAAGAGCACTGACTGCTCTTGCAGAGGACTCAGGTTCAGTTCCCATCACCTACATGAGAGCTAACAATCATCCATAACTCCCGTAGTTCCAGGGGATCTGATGCCCTTTTCCGACCTCTGTAGGCATTGCACACATACATACATGCAAGCAAAACACTCAAGCGCATAAAATATAAATAAAAAATAAAAAGTCTGGTAGTCTGCTCTCAAGGAGCTGTCAGTCTAGCAGGGGAAACAGAAGCCTGTTTTCAAGGGTGATACCTGATATAAAGAAATAGCACATAAAAGGCAGAAAGTGTATTTTTTAATTAGAAAATATTTTACTTACTATTTTTATGTGTATGAGTATATTGCCTACATGTCTGTAAGTGCACCAGTGTTGTATAATGCCCATGGAGATCAGAAGAGGGCATCAGATCCCCTGGAACTAGAGTTAGGACAGTTGTTAGCCACCATATAGGTCCTGGGAATCGAACCTGGGTCCTCTACAAGAGCAGCCAGTGCTCTTAACCACTGAGCCATCTCTCCAGCCCCAAAGGCAGAAATTGGGAGGAGGGATAAGAAGAGAGCTATTTTTAAAAAGTTTTTTGGATTTGTTTATTTTTATTATATGTGTATGAGTGTCTTGCCTCTGCAAGAGCAGCCAGTGTTCTTAACTGCTGAGATAGCTCTCCAGCCCCAATTCTTCCTTATTTTGTCTTTTTTGAGACAGGGTAGCCCCAACTGGCCTGGAACCCACTAGGTAGACCAGGTTGGCCTTGAACTTACAGAGATCTTCCAGCCTCTGTCTCCTGAGTCCTGGGATTAAAGTTGTGTGCCACCATGCTCAGCTAATTCTTCCATTTTTGTGAACAAGTAAACTTGAGTTTTCATGATGCCAAGAGTAGCTCCCAGTTATTAAAATTCTAAACCTTCTGACCCTAGCCACACTCCAGCTGCTTCTATTTGAGAGATTGATTTCTCTGTTCATTAAATTGAGTCACATTTTTCTAGAGTAGATAAATGAATTTTTCACCTACAAATTTCTTGTTTGCTCCCCTTGCACCAAATGCTGACTAGGGGACCGGGGAAGATGGCTCAGTTGGTAAAGTGCTTGCCACACAAGCATGAGGACCTAGTTCAATCCCTGGCACCTACATAAAAGCCAGGCTCGGTAGTGTGCAGCTGCAATCCCAGCACTGGGGAGGCAGACAGGAAGATGGCTGAATCAGTGAACTCCAGATTCCCAGAGAGACCTTGTCTGTGTTCTTCATGTGTGTGCCATGTATGTAAGCACACCTATGGGTGCAATGTATATGGAGGCCAGAAAAGGGCACCAGATGCCCAGGAACTGGAGTTATATATGGTTCTTAGCAATCATGTGGGTGCTGGAAACTGAATCTGGATCTTCTGGAAGAGCAGTCAGTGCTCTTAACGGCTGAGCCATGACATCAATTTTCTAAAATGTGGGTTTGTGTGTGTCCCTCTATGGAATCAAAGTCTGCTGGCTTCCCATCAACTGCCAGGTCCAAATGTCTCAGTTCTTTGTAAAGGTGGTTTTGATGAAACTGCATCCTTTGTGTTTTTGAGCAGGTCACATTCCTGTAATCTCTGTCTTTACCTGTGCTGTTCCTTCTACTTCAACTGTTTTCCCACTGTCTAACTCTCACTGACCTTTCAAAATCCAACAGAAATGTCACTTACTCTCTGAAGACTTCTGCTCTCATCCCCTTTAGACTCTGAGCTCCTTCTTTGTGGCTCCAAGTGGGGGCTGATTGCCAACTTTCGTCAAATAATAGCTGCTAATTCTGTTAGCTGTATTGCTCTATAGGCACTTCGTTTTACTAATTTTTCAGCTTCTCATTTGTGGCTCTGCAGATTCTCAAGTTCTACATCTACAGATTCAATTTCACCTGAATTGAAAATATTTGTTAAAAAATTGCATCTGAGGCCAGGCATCATGTTGCATGTCTGTAATACCTGTACTTAGGAGGTAGAGGCAGGAGAATCAAGAGTTGAAGGCCAGCTATATAATCAGTTTGAGGCTAGCCTGAGCTACAGGAGACCCTGTCTTATAAATTGCATCCATCAGGAGTGGTGGTGTACATCTTTAATCCCAGCACTCACAAACAATCATGAAAACAGAACATCTACCTATGCTGAGAAACCAGAAGCCTCTGCGCTGAGACCAGTGTGCTGCCCAGAGCCTCCATCTGGATGAGCCTGCCGGTAGCAATGATGCTTTTTACTTGAAAATTAACTAGCAGAATTCCCATATGTAACTACACAGGCAGCAGTAATCACAACCCATTAAAAATAGCTTTATTGCTTTTCTGAGGTTCTGAAAGTAATGGAGGATCATCTTACTCCTCAAAAATAGAAATGCATTAGGAGGAACCAAGAAAGGCATGATGCTGCCTCTCAGAGAACATCAGCATGAACATTCTGGCATGCGTCAAATAGTTTTTTCTACACTATTTCCTTTGTGTACAGAAAAATTTACATAATTTCTTATAATAATGTAATTTTGAAAATCAAAATAGTATTACAGATTTATAACTCTGTGGCCTCCCTTTTCTTCTTTCATGTCAATTAACATAAATTCTCAACAACACGATGAAAGCTGATAGTAGTGCATGCACTGTGATTTATTTTAAAGTTCTCTCTTGACAAAGTCTTTCCTGTCTCGTGCTCTCTTTGTAGTATAATGTCTATTGTAGTATCATTGTAGTACAAATGTTGAAAGCACAAGACATTTAGGTAGCTATGCAACCCCGCCATACCTCAACTTTCTCAGTTGCAAGATAGGAAAAGTCCTAACACCTGAGAGTTGTTCAGAACCCCGTGAATGGACATTGGTATGTTTTAGCACAGTGCCTGCACATAGTGATTGCAAGGAAGTGTTAACTACTGCTAGTATGAGTGATATTAGCTTTAATGTTCCTATGAAGATTTGGGAACTTATCCTACATATTTCTTTTTAAAATATTTATCTATCCTGTCTATCCTAGATTAATGAATTATAGAACAGTAATGCTGAACCACAACAATCTCAGAGGCACACGAGAGACAGTCATCTAGAGGGTCATGTAGGTGGCTGTGTGTCCTGAGCACACTCTATCAGAAACATAGGCAAACACATTTATGTTTTACACAATGTCAAAATGTACTGATTAACAACATATTCACAAGGTCAGTGGTTTTGTTGGCAGCAATTTGCCACATAATACTGCTTTCTTTGATAGACAACTAAAGCAAAGACAGGTTCTCTTATTCCAATATTAATTACCATTTATAATATCTATCTATCTATCATCTACCTATCATCTATCTATCTATCATCTATCTATCATTTATTTATTTATTTATTTATTTATTTATTTATTTTTGAAATAGGATCTTCCTGTAGCCCCAGTTGGCCTGGAGCTCACTATGTAGATCAGGCTGGCCTCGATCTTACAGAGATCTGCCTGCCTCTGCCTCCCCAGTGCTGGGATTAAAGAGGTGCACCACCACACCTGGCTATTTTTATTTTAAATATATATGTGTCTGTGTCTGTGTGTGTGTATGTGATGTGTGTGGGTGCCTGTGGAGGTCAGAAGAGGGCGTTGGATCCCCTGGAGCTAGAGTTTTTTTAAGTAGTCGTGAGCCACCTGATGTGGGTGATGGGAACTGAACTCAGATCTTCTTGAAGAGCAGCCCATGCTCTTAACCACTAATCCACTTCTTCTGCTCCCCGCCCCCCATTTACTTATTTAGGATACATTTCTAGAAGTAGAAATACTGGATCAAAA